TGGATCGAATTCTATTTGATGAGATTTGGCCTTAGAGGGCTTTCTTTTTCTATTTTCCTCCTGCTTTGTTTTAGCTTAATTGTTTAGATCTTATAATGTTTGAAATATATGTGATGACTTGTTGTCTTTATTTGTGATTATTGTGATGCTTGCATTTTAATCAAATAAAAATGTTTTATTGTGTGTTGCATACGGTCAATACCCTAACATGTTTTGAATGTTTTTTTTATACAAAAAATATTGGAAGTTTTGAAAAATGTGTTTTCGCATGGATTTCTTAAACACAACGAAAATTGTTTTCTTGCATTTCTGGATTTTACAACATGTTTGTAAAACTCCAAAGGGTATTGGCCAATATTCCAAAAAATATAAAAATCTTATTTTGGGGAGAATTTATCTATTATTTACCGCTAATGTTTGGATAAAGAAATCCAAAATATTATTATCCAAAATATTATTGGGAATAATTTGTTATTATTCACTATTAATATTTGGATAAAGAAACTCGGAGTGGTAAATATCCAAAATAATTTTCTAGGAATAATAAATCCGCACACATCCTTGAAAGAAGCCTTGATTATAATCGAGGACATTTCCATTTTTTTTTCCTCCACGGTTTACGAGTTATGAGAACATAAAACACTAAGACAAAAAAAAAGATTTTTAAAGCACTCAAGATTTCTAATTTTTGTCGAATTACGAGTAGCAAACTCTTGAAATACCAAGGGAAAAATGAGCTTCTACAGCACATCGAATCTCCTTGGATTTCTTTCTTAATAAATTTAGTTAGAATCAAAATCGGAAAAAAAAAGCTGATGGGATTAGAAAACACCAACACCATAATAATTATAAAACAAACCAAACACCAAGCAGCTTACCTTAAGTAGGGCGTACTAGGGGTGCTAACACCTTCCCTTTACCCAACCAGTCCCTTGCCTTAGAATCTCTGAAAAACCAGTTAGGTTTCCTAGTGACCATAATACTAGGTGGCGACTCCCTTTTACACAAAAATAAAAATAAGAGACCCCGAAATCAATCGACGGTTGCCGCGACGCCGCGCTCCGCTCGTGAGGGTGCTGACGCCGCACTCCGCTCGCGAGGGTGCGACAGGATGGCGACTCCACTGAGGACCCTTGGATTAAGCTTGGTAATTGTTTCTTTTATGCTATGTATTTGTTGTTCTCCAATTGCTATGAATTGATACTTTGCTTAAAAGCTTTAGCATGCATTTTTACATTCTGTCATATATGGTATAGTCATGCATCACTTTATTATTATTATGATAAAAGCCTTAGCATGCATTTTTACATTCTGTCATATATGGTATAGTCATGCATCACTTTATTATTATTATGATAAAATCTTTAGCATGCATTTTTACATTCTGTCATATATGGTATAGTCATGCATCACTTTATTATTATTATGTTTTTTTAGGGCACACACATATAACTTTTAAGTTAAGTGGGGAACTAGCAGCTTGCCTTATGACTTGAGTCAAGGTTTAAGTTTGTGTAAACCCCAACTCTTTGCTGAGTGTTTAGACTGATTGTGATTGGTACACGTGCCATCCCACTATCTGCTTAACCCTTATATTGCCTTTACGAGGGTGATCATTGGGACAACAAGAGACCCCTTTTTAGAGACCAAGTAGTAAACCTACCCTATATCTCACGTAAAGGAATTAGAACCTATCCTTATGGTGTATGCTCCGTAATATCTTTTGCATCTTGAATTGCAGAACTTGTGAACGAAATGGCCACCATGACTAAATTTTTCATCATAGAATATTAGAAAAATTCTGAACTGTCACAATTGACTGAAGGAGACTGCCTTAGAAGCGATGCTAAGAAGCTGTCACCAATCAAGAATCTGAATTGCATTATGAATGAGGTGAACAAGTTAACGACTCACTTTTAAAATGTGGATAAGGATGCATTTTTTTAGGAAATACGGACGTTTGGTGGAAATTACAAAGGTAGAAGTTTATTTTTGGGATCCAGACTACTAGTGTTTTTCTTTTAAAAAAACATAGACCGATGTCCCATTATAGAGGAATATGAGATGTTGACTAAGTTTCCAAACAATCTGTATAAGATTTATTTTCCTTTGAGATCTGAAAAGATCATCCCTAAACTGTCAAAACTGCTCAAAATCGCTAACTTGAAAAAGTTTTTGGAAAAGAATGCTATCGGTCTAAAATAGAGGATGCTAAAAATTAAACTGGAAAAAAGGTCAAGATTAGAAAAAGAGAGATTGATTGCCTTGGGCATATTTGACCTTGTGTTGTTCCCAAGTCAAACGGGTGTAATGAGTTTAGAGGCCGCTGCAGAGTATGAGAATACACAAATCAATCCAGTGGTTGCTATTTTAGCTGAAACCATTTTGACACTTAACCATTGTAGGAGGACCGAAAAAGGAGCAATGAGATGTTGCATGTAGTTGTTATATATCTAGATGGTTAGTCATATCGAAACAAAAAAACTTGTCTTCAATAATTTTTTGTGGTTCACCCAAAGACCCTTAAAATTAATAAAAGAAGAAGAATGGAGAGATTTAGACAACCAAGGTTGGGTTGACAAATTAGAAGGTTTACCTAATAGTGATTTCAAGTGGAGAGCCTTATAGGTAATGACAATGAAAGTCCTAATGAGTTGTGGACAAAGATGTTGGGTGTCATTAGTAGGGATTACAGGTTATGTGATTTATGCTCCTGCCCTAGTGGTATGGCAACTTGGGGGCATGCAGTTTATTTCAAGGACTTTAGGAATTGCTCAATTCTTTGGTTTGTTCAAAGATCCTAAGGCATAAGAAGTTTTGGGGATCATCAAACAAGATTTGAGGCATCTAGTTTTGGTTGAGATATAAGGTTTAAAGGATCCAAGTGTAAGTGAAGGATATGCAAGATAAAGAGACTTAGCTACTTTAGCCATGCCTTGTGTAAGAGTTAAATCTCCCAAAACTGTTGAAGATCCTATTAAAAGAAAAAGGGTAAATAATGAAGAGGAGTTGAGAGGACAAGTTAAAAAAAAAAAAACTTCGGATAGAGTTGAGCAAAAGCAAAAAAAAGACAAGGCAATGTTGTAAGAAATTATGCATGAACAAATACAATGTAGAGATGCAAGAATAACAAAGCTTGAGTTAAAACTAGGTGAGGAGAAGATTGGTAGTGAAGAAAGTGAGAAGGAGTTAGGAGGGATAGGTTTGGATTGGATGCAAAGGTGCTCTGAAGTTTAAGCAATGGATATTGACTTTAACGATTGCAAACGGTGTAAAATATTACTAAGAAAAGTTTGCACAAGTTCAGCTCGAAATGATGGATAGGATAGGGAAGTATGAGGATTTAAATAAGAAATATATGGAGTTAGAAAGCCATTTGATAGGGATTACAAAAGAACAAAGTAAAAAGAAAAGTTTTTGAGGTTGTTGAAGCAAAGTTAATGTTTATGAAGGATATGATAAAAGTTATAAGGATAAAACTTGATAAGGAACATAAAAAGGTGAAGTATTTGGATGAGAAGCTAGCAGGAATAGAAAAACACAAGGATTAAATAGACACCAACAACGCTGCTTTGAACAGAACCAATATGTTGTTCATAAAAAAAGATGAACAAGACAGATAAGTAAATGGACGAAGCTGCTGCACTTGTTCAAATTATTAGAATCAATGCATGAAATGTGGAAAGGAACATCATTTGCTATCACCGAAGCCTAGTCGAAGTCGATACCTTTCTACGGAAGATTAAGAATCGCGGCTTTGCCTTCTTAACTTTGGCCAAAGAGTTTGTTGAGGAAAGGGATTAAAATATTGTATCTCTAAATATAATAAACTTATCAAGCATTAATGAAAAGAGCATTGACCCATCTTTTTATGCAAAATCTATCTCTTGGTGAATATGATTCAAGCAAAAGATTCAAAAGGCAATACTCCTAGCAAAACAATGTGATAATAGGACCTATATCTGTAAGGTGGTGGCTATTATTCATTCACAAGAAGGTTGCATCCATACCCAATATATAAATGCATTCTTATCACAATCATGCATTGTATCATGCATCTATACACGCATTCGCAGACCTAGAAACATAGATCCCTTTTTTGGAATCCACAACACTTGATTTTTTTTTTAAAAAAAAGGATGGAAAACAAAGAAAGGTCACACCCAAAAGCTCAGTACCGAACAAAGGCTTACAGGAATATGGAATAATGTTACGCACCTAATCTTTTTGCTTGAGCAAATGTTTTGAGATCATGCATTTTCAAAAGTTCATCTTAATGTTTTTACACATCACTTTCCATTTTATAAAGTTGATTTCCAAAACAAACACCTGCACTTTACACTGAGAATGAATGGCCAAAATTTAAAGAATACGTAGTAGTTGTTGAAGAGGAAGAATGAGATGAAAATAGGACAGCATAAACAAGCTTGGAAACCCGCTAGAGAGGAACTTGAAACCATAGATGTGGGCAATGAAAAAATAAGAGAAAAAAAATAGGGACTATAATCACTCCTAAAAAAGAGAAGAATTGGTTACTTCAAGATTATATAGATATTTTTGCTTGGTCCTATAAGGATATGTCTGGCTTAGATATGGATATTGTAGTACAAAGGCTATTGTTGGCAGAAGGATGCAAATCAATTAAACAAAAGTTGAAAAGAATTAATCTGGATGTCTTAATCAAAGTAAAGGTAGAAATTGAAAAGCATTGGAACACTAGTTTTCTAGAAGTAGTCAAATATCCACAATGGGTGTCCAACATAATGGTAGTACCCAAAAAGGAAGATAAAATCAGAGTACGTTTACCACACATAGATATGTTAGTTGACAATACAACACGTAGCTCCACATATTCCTTTATAGATGGATTTTTAGGTCTACAATCAAATAAAAATGGCATCAGAGGATAAGAAGAAGACAACATTTGTAACACCATGGGGAACCTTTTGTTACAAGGTCATGCCATTTGGGTTAAAGAATGTTGGGGCCACCTACCAAAGGGCTAGGTAATTCTGTTTCACAACATGATGCAAAAAGAGATTAAGGTATACGTGGATGACATGATATAGAGAGGGAGAGAATCATATCCAAATATTGAAGGAATTATTTAAAAGACTAAGGAAGTACAAGTTGAGGCTTAACCATGCAAGGTATTCATTCGAGATGAAATCTTAGGAAGTTGTTGGGATTCATGGTGAGTGGTAAAGAGATAGACGTGGACCCCAGTTAAGTAAAGGCTATTCAATCTATGTCATCTCTCAAGACTGAGAAGGATGTAAGGAGGTTCTTGGAAAGTTTAAACTACATTGCTTGGTTTATATCTTAATTAACCACGACTTATGACCCCATCTTCAATTGTTAAGGAAGAAGAATCTTGGAATTTAAAATATGGGTGTGAAGAAGCTTTCAAGAAAATCAAGCAGTACCTACTAAATCCACCCCTATCTATCAAGCCAAATTGTAAAATAACAAGTTATACTAGCTGAGTATGACATAGTATATATGTCAAGAAAAGCCATCGTTGATCATCTAGTTAATCATGCTATGGAAGATTATAAGCCATTAAAATTTTTCTAACCTGATGAAGATGTGCTTTTTAATTGAAGAAGGAAAATTAGATTGGTGGACTATGTACTTTGATAGTGCTGTAAACATGTGGTAACAAAGTTGATGCAATGATAATCTCTCCTAATAAAAAGTAGTATTTGGTTAAGTTAAAATTCAACATAGGAGTATCAAGTTTGAATTCTCGTTTTAAAGGTGGCATTGCATTCTCGTTTTAGAGGCTGCATTGAAGCTAAACATAAAAAATATATAGACCTGTATGGAGACTCAATGTTGATCATTTACCAAGTAAAAGGAGAATGGCAAACCAAGGACGAGAAGTTGAGACCTTACCAAGAATACCTGTCTAAATTGGCTAGAGAATTTGAGAAAATAAAGTTCACCATCTAGGAAGGGAAGGAAACTATTCTGACATTTTGGTCACACCAGCTTTTCTGACTAGAATAGACTTTGGGCACAAGGTACAAGCGATACATATTGATATCAAAAGTAACCCAACTCATTGTTGCTTAGTTAAAAGAGAAATAAATGGAAACCCTTGGTACTATGATATCAAGAATTTCATCTAAAACTAGACATATCCCATGGGGGCATCTAAAATCAACAAGAAGACTTTGAGGAGGTTGGCAATGGATTTTTATCTTGATAGGGAGACTTTATATAAGATATCATCTGATGAAACTTTGTTGAGATGTTTGGATGACGTGGAGGTAAAAAGTGATGAAAAAAATTTATGGAAAGAGACTTGATATGTGAATATGGTCCATTAGAAATGATTATAATTAATAACGCACATGAACTTCAATAGCAAGATAATAATAGAACTTTGTGCTAATGGAAAAGTCAACGCTTCCAATTACTCGCCATGTGGGCCAAAGATGAATGGTGCGGTAGAAGCTGCTAACAAAAATGTCAATAAGATTATTTAGAAGATGGTAGTCCCTTACAAAGATTGACATAAGATGTTATCATTTGCCCTTCACGCATACTGCACTACAATTTAAATCTCAATAGGAGTCACCCCGTATATGTTGGTATATAGAATAGAGGCGGTGATACCTTTAGAAAATGAAATCCTCTCATTAAGAGTATTGATAGACTTTGAGCTAGAAGAAGTAGAGTGAGTAAAAGTTAGATATGAATAGTTGAATCTAATAAGTAAAAAGAGGATAACTGAAATCTATCATCATCACGGATGGCCAAATCATAGGAAGAGAAGGTCCGGCCTCGAGGATTCCACAAAGGAGATTTTGTACTGAATATAGCCTTTACCAGAACAGGATCAAAGTAAATGGGCGCCAAACAATGAGGGCCCTTTGGTGGTAAAGAAAGCGTTCTCAAGAGAAGCTTTATTGTTATCTAGAATGGATGGAGAAGATCTATTTAAACCTATGAATGCTGACTCTATAAAAAAATACTATGCTTCCCAGTCAATAAAATAAAGTTCGGTCATGAATTCTCTTTATAAAGAACCTTTTTTTCATAAAACATATGATCTTATAGCATTTGAAATCTTTTACTTAAAAGAACTGTTTTTTTTACGCATGACTAAGGAGATGACCCCATCAATTGGAGAGAACCAAATCAAATCTAAACTTGATATATTTTTTCACACCACACTGGGGGCAAGAACTATACGAAGTGCATATAGGGGTCTATAGGGAAGTCAAGCCCAAAAGGGTATCATCATAGAACATTGCTTAAAACAAAATATGATGATTGCATTGAAAGTTTTAGTTTTCATGAACAAAACCAAATTTTGTGTGTTTTCCTCTTAAAAATAATTTTCAAAAAAATAGAAAAGACAATTAAAACATCGGCAAAAGTATAATACAAAGCGATGTTTAATAGATCAAGAAAGGGCCCTATAAGGAACTAGAGATCTCTGCACCAAGCATAAAAAGGATAGGAAATGTAGCGCGTGAAGTATATTCCAATTTAAGAGGATAGGTCGGGTAAACAATTAGAAACAAGAGCTCGAAGAAGTCTACAACGAAAAAGGGGACCTATATTTCCAAAAATAGGTAACAAAAAAACGTGCATGCTATTTTGTCATAACACTC